TTTAGAATATCAACTTCTGGATTCTCTTGTCCTATCCTCTTGCTAGCCAGTCCTAGCATCGAATCCGTGTGAGGCAGGCACAGAAGAAAAAAATTGCGAATAGTTCCCGCGTTGGTGGCTCAAAATACTTCAGTTTGGTCCAGTCGCATATACCTACCGCGATTGTCCGCGATTGAACGAGTCAGACAGCACGTCTCCCCGGAGACGTGGAACAGCTCGGATCGGCAAATACCCCTCTTGAATTCTCCTCTCTTTCTCTCCTATTCTCCTTGGTGTGTTCATGTGAGTGTGCGTGTGCGTGTGTGTTCCGATCAAATCGATGACGCTCTCTATACGGTCCTTCTCATCCAAAATTTCGTTTTTTTTCATTTTCACATCAACTTCGCTCGAGATCATTTTTATGACAGACTGTTTTGACAAGTACAACAAACCTATCCGGTTCTGTTCTCCGGGTTCGATCCTTTTCGTTCGCAAACCTGTACCGTTAGACTCCGCGAAAAATAGGAGTTGTTGTAGTGAGCTCCTGAATGAATATATCAGTATGGTCTTTGGGCAGGATCTGATTGATCACAAGCGGCAAGAAATGACCGTGAACGGCGAGAAAATGTGATTTCCCGACTGTTTGATAAAGTTCAGTGAGGAACAAGTGCAATACCGGTGTGCAATGATGACAATGTGGAAAACAAATGGAGAGAGAGAGTCTCAGTAACCGATCCCAGGGGTAGATCTGTTCAATCAATGGAAAAAATGTAACCACCGTGAGTCGACTATTGGACAAGAGCAGGAAGAAAGAAAGAAATACGTCACATGAGTGAACAATGTCATCAGACAGAACAAAAACAATCTTGTACCACTGAACCGTAATTTTACTTACTCGAGTCGAAACTGATCTCGGACAGGACAATCCAATCGTAATCGAACCAGAGGGTGATACGCAAAAATCGGCCCACACGATGCTCCAGCGGAACAGTGACCCAACGCGCTTGTCGATTGTGAATATCTCGTTGCACATCCAGCAAGGCGGGAGTGTGATGTCGATTGAAATGCTGACCGCCCACACTGAACTGAATTAAGGCACGCCGGAACACGGCTACATAGTTCAACGAATTGAGTACATGAAACCGGGCCTGAGTAAAATTGCGCACTGTTAGACCGAGGAGATGAAGCAAGAAAACAGAAAGACAAAGAGTTACATGTTAGTGTTCGTACAGGCACCGGGGAAGGGGAGAACGTGTACAAAACAGAATAAACATCTGGATATAGGCTCGGATTTTAGTTTATCAGGTTTTCCAAATAGTCCATCCAAACGAACTCTATGGTAAATAATCACGTCCTTTTTTTGGTTGATTTTGGGTGATGTTTGTTTTGGGAATTATCACTGACGTGCTCCGGAGCTCCCAGAGTCCGAGCTCCGAGCCCTGTCACGGACACCCTATGGTCCGGTTTAATATCAAACTTATCCTATCGAGATGTTGTATGTACCGTCCTCCTCCACTTCCCAGCCCAGAATTTCGAGCGCTGGTTCCCATAACCGAATAACAGGATCTCGATTACCTTCTCTTCTTCATTATACAAAAGTCAAGAGACTGAGCTATTCCGATCGCTCATAATCACGGTTGATTGGATCAAATGCCGTCTGTCACAACGCTTTTTTGTTGCTGTTCTATGCACAACGAAATTCACTACATAATGAAACCTAATCCTCCTCCACGGCTCGTGTGCCAATCATTCAGGTTCCAACTGAGTCGTAATCCGGAAGGCCAAGGCTAAGATGAACAAAGTGTGCTGCCAGGAAACAGGCTCGCAAAGTTCAGTTGTGCTATATCGTGCACAGCAAAAATAAGTAATGGTATGATCCGCTTAGTTATTGACTTGGTTGACCGGCTTCAGGGTTCGTCAACAGTGTGTGTGTGTGTGTGTGTGTGTGTGTGTGTGTGTGTGTGTGTGTGGAGGGATGGATTCGCTCACTGCTGATGAGGCCCAACCAATTGGTCACCGCCTTTCAATTCATGTTTTATTTGCTCTGTACATCATGATATATCTAAAATGCATTCTATAGTTCTGTATCTATCGGTACTAAAACGAACTAGGTGAAGACCGATTTACTGTGAACTAAATTTTATCCTCGTTAAAAATGAGGCCAAAGCAGCCCGACAACAACGAATCTGGTCCGAACCGAGGATCAACGCGCGCACACACACACACAGAGGGAGAGAAAAACAAGATGTGTGAGAGGGGGAGAGCGTGCACATGCATGGGAAATAGAATCAGAAGATTAGCGGATCGCCAAGGTCTCACATGTCGCGTATCTAACACCTGAACAAGTTGGACACTGGCCCTTGTTTGCGCACCAGTTTACACGAGGTTGATAAACCGACAGAACGTTGACTGACTACCTCGGCCTCGGTACCGGTAAACGCTGACGTTCCATTTTCACCCACCCCAACCCGGTCGTTTGTTCCCGCAGTCTGTGCAACATGCAAGCAAGCCAAGTGGCCCCATATACAATATGGCTCAAATGCATTCCGACTTTGAGCTGTCCAAGTTGATCTTGGTCGCGCACGTGTGCGTGTGTATGAGGATACACTGTCAGTCCGTGAACCGATAAGCTTGGCAAACACAGACCACTGCAGTTAAGCAAACAAACATCTCTGTCCGGTTGCAGGATACACCAGTAAACACTTGTCATTACGCTTTAGTATCAACCATACTATAGGAAAGACCAACTCCCCTCCCCATCCATCCACACACACACAAAGTGAATAACGTATGTATCTTTTAAAGGAGTTACTCGAAAATAGAACCCTTTCGGACGAAAATGGACATCATCTCTAAAACAATAAGCTGTCAATTGTTCTCGTGAAGAAACAACCGCACTGTTCAAACGAATCAGTCCGGGTACATGTATTGTTCACTTGCCCACATATGTACAACATTTCCACACGATTAGAACTCATTGGCTTCAATGATCGCTTTACTCTAAAGTACACATCGTCTGCACCTAAATGACAAGTTGGCACTTTAGATCACTACGGTCACACGGTTACAATGCTATTACCACGATCACTAAGGCCAGTAGAAGCAGCAGTAACAACAACAACCCTAGTTATGCTCACGGTACAGTAACAACTAAATTGTTAGTCCAAAGAGGAATGGGAACAATACACTCGAAGGCGCCATCCATGCTACACAAAAGCCCCATGTGACATTTGCGGACAGGGTGGTGTTTGTGTCTGGTTGAGCATGTGCACCGACTAAACCTCCATCGACCCAGACTCGGCCACCCGTTGCCAACCCCTGTCTTAAATTAATGAAAATGAACACTGGTTTGACCGATGCTGTGGCCAGGTAGAGATGAATAGAGACACAATCACCGAGTGAAGTTGCATATGCAATAGGAATATGGTTGGTTGACAACGGAGTAATTATTTTTTTTTTTACACTGAACAACAACAACGAAGTGGAAGCCGAGGGATAACCCTTGAACAAGGCTAAATTGACGCGTTTTGGACGCAAATGGAATTTGCAATCACCATTGTTAGCCAGGCACGTAACAACTGTACGTTACGCCCTGTGGAGAGTTTTTTATGTGCTATAAAGTTCGCCAATGCCGACAGAAGAATACTCCCTTTCTTTCTGGGACCTGTATCATCACCACCACCACCACTAACAGGAGGCGTATGACGGTGACCAGAAACTAGGCCTGTTTGTGCGATCTGAAGAAACCGGACCGGACACAGTCAGGACGACTGATTGAATGGTATAGTCTCCTGGCTCTTTCACTCGTCTGTATCCTACACCAGCAGAACGTGGCTTAACATTTACGAAATTCAGGAAATCTATGCTCCGTATTTATTGTATTCAACC